TAGATAGATAGATAGATAGATAGATAGATAGATAGATAGATAGATATGATTGTTAATGGGTAGGCAGGCAGGCAGGCAGGCAGGCTCTTACCTAATAGAAACAGCTAAATTCAATGTTTTTGAGAAAGGTCTGAATTATGTTTGTTTTTGCTGAAAACACATTAGCAGCTTTTGTAACTTTTGCTTTTCAGAACTGGGGTGGCCTTATTTTTCACAAGAGTGGAGCCAGTCAGATCCAAATAATGAGATGGGACCCATTCAGATCTTAGGGGCAATGGCCTACCCATAACTAAGGAAGCTGCTTCCTTCTTTATCTTTATAACCTACCACATGAAACGACAACTGTCAACAGGGAATAAACTATTCTGTCCAGAGAGGCTATCTACATCATTGAGGATTCCTCGCATAAAAAGACTCTATAGATAGAAGGGGATCTCCACCAGTGGGATGGTTGAGTTGTGCATACAGTGTGTGAAATAAGGGGTGGGACAAGTGCAGTTATCCCCATTTTGTATATAGGTCAGTGGTCCCATTTTGTAATCAACATATGCCATTCTAGTATGCAGAGCATAAGTGAGGATTTGCCTTCCAAGCTTGGTGACCAGCTGTGTTGTCTTATATTTCCGTGTTGTTTTATATTCCGAGAATTCCCAACCAGTTGCTCTTTGTCTTATTAAAATAAGTACTGTAGTTAGCCAAAGAAGAAACAGGTGAAATTCAACTAAAGGATCACACACTGAGCATTGTGAAATATAAATGAAAAATGTCTCTCAAATCAATCAGAATAGAGCTGGAAGGGACCTTGGAGGTCTTCTAGTGTAGTCCAACTCCCCTCCTCAAGCAGGAGACCTTATACCCGTGATGGTGAACCTATGGCACGTGTGCCACAGGTGGAACTCAGAGCTGTTTGTGCCGGCCACAGGCAAACTTACCTCATTGCGCATGCATGCCCCTTACAGCTGATTTTTGGCCTCCCAGAGGCTTCAGGAAAGCCTTTGCAGGCCGAAAAATAGGCCCGTTTCATCACTTCCTGTATTTCCAGAAATACTGGAAGTGATGAAACGGGCCCATTTTTTGGCCTGCAAAGCCTGCAGAAGCTTTCCTCACTAGGAGGCTGAAAAAGGCCTCAAATGGGCCGAAAATCAGCTGGGAGGTGCAGTGCAGGTAAGGGGGCAATGTGGGAGATTGTGGGAGGGGGGGGCACACATTGTTTTCTGGCTGCTGGCACATGAGCGCACGCATGCAAGCGCTCACACAATTTTTGGCACAGGAGCCCAAAAAGGTTAGCCACCATTTCAGATGGATGACTGTCCAGTCTTTTCTTAAAAACCTCCAGTGATAAACACAGCAAACTGTTCCACTGATTAATTGTCCTCACTGTTAGGAAGTTTCTCTTTAATTCCACATTGCTTCTTTCCTTGATTAGTTTACATCCATTGTTTCTTGTCTTGCCTTTCTGATGCTTTGGAAAATAAATTGAACCCCTCTTCTTTGTGGCAGCCCTCAAATACTGGAATACTGCTAACATGTCACCCCTAATCCTTCTTTTCTCTAGACTGACCATACCCAATTCTTGCAACCGTTCTACATATGTTTTTCTCTCCAGGTCCTTAATTGTCTTAGTTGCTCTCTTCTATGCCCTTTTCCAAAGTCTCAACATCTTTTTTTGTAATGTGACCAAAACTGGATACAGTATTCCAGGTGTGCTCTTATGTCAGAGTATATTCATGAACTGGAATAGAGCATGGTAACAAGGTCAGCCAATGAATAGACATAGCAACTAAGTCAGCCAATGAGGACTGTTTGGAAACTGAAACGAGAAGTAGCCTAGGTGTGGTTCTATATTAAGCTGTGCAGCTCTGAAGCTATGTTAAGCTCTGAGTCTGTCTATTGAAAATGAAACTGCTTCTCTCCTCTGCTGCGTGTCTTGCTTGCCTGCTGAACTAAAATGAAACTGAGCTCCTGAGTTGCTGTTCTGCTCTTAACTTGTAACATGTCTGCTTCTGTTTGAGTTTGCTCCATGTTGGAGAAATCTACAACTGGTATTGTAAAATTTACTTTATATGTTTATAAAGAAGACAAATGAAGCCTCAGTCATCTGTGTTTACTTTTCTGGCGCTGAATTTACGCTGCACATTTTACTAAGGATTTATAAAGCCCTACTAATACTTCACATGGTTTTGATTCTATGCCTTTGTTTATACAACCAAGGATTGTATTAGCTTTTTTGGCTGCTGCCGCACACGGTTGGCTCATGTTTAAGTGATCATCCGCGATTTATTTAGTCCCTCTCACATTTACTATTTTTGGACCAGGTTTTAACTAATCAGTACTCGGTCCTTCAAAATCAAAATAATATTAAGGTACTTTTCCTGGCAACAATGGACAATTGGTTTGACATTGCCTTTTTATTCTAAACAAATTTATATAGTATTTTAATAAGAAATTAAATAACAAAGATGAATCAGAAGGGTTATCTGTTCGACAGAGATTTGTTTACTTTTGAAGCTCTGGTTTAAGCTAGTTGCTTTATGGGGAAATTAAAAAGCAAAAATCTTTTTCGCTGCAAAGAAAAAGACTTTGCCATACATTTAAGGAATTTGCATATGAATTGAACAAGACCGCACTTATTCATGGATGTTTGCTCTAGTTTTACTACCTACATGTAACAAAAATCTCTGTGGATAGTGGCTGCCAACCCCTTCCCCTTTCTAGCTATTATGAGTCAAATGAATATGAAACAGTCTCTTATCTCCTTAATTTACAGGTACTGTAAGTGAAACTGAAACACATGTGTTAGCAGCCTCAAGTTTGCAACTTCAATGGGTTTAAATGCAGGCTTTTGGCACATTCTCTCACACAGGGGCAGTTTACCTGGAGGGAAGTCTTGAAGAAGCCAAACAATTGTTTGGACGCCTGCTCTTTAACGACAAGGTATGACTTCATTTCTGTCTTGATTATAGCTTGCACCTTGTTTTCTGCTTTTCTGTAGTGCTTCAAATCAAGTGCTTCAGAGGAAAATTGAAAAGAATCCTGCCTCTCCGAATGTAATACCTTGATCTAGCAAAATAAAGCAAAAGATTATTGTAATTACTGCACATACCCGGTTTTCTGCTCTAAAGACAAGGTACCAGAAAAGACTACTCGGTAGCAAGTTTCTATTATCTTGCTCAGAAGGAGCATGCAAAATGGGGCAATCTAGACAATCTTTCCCATGTCTGACATAATTTATTTGGGGATTGATGGGAGGAAAACTGACAGTGCTGAAGAGAACATGGGTGTAAAGAGAACAAATGAGAAGAAGAAAAAGTTGAATGAGACCAATGTGAGATAGCAGGAAGCTGCGGAGGCTGGTTCAAAGCTCCTCTGTAGCCCTGTAAGTTCGCTGGATGATTTTGAGCAAGGGTCTCCAACCTTGGCAAGTTTAAGACTTGTGGACTTCAGCAGTTAGCTGAGGAATTCTGGGAGTTGAAGTCCACAAGTCTTAAAGTTGCCAATGAATTCCTGATGGAAAGTAATATTTAGGAGAAGCAAACACCACAGATTGCTGGTGATGAGAAACGATAAGCCAGTGTAAGCTTACACACTTAAATCAGTTTGCTTCAGAAGACCATATCAAAAGTTGTGCTTTCAGCCATCAGCACGTAGATCTCCTGATGCATGCAGGCATCTTGGGGAATGTGGCAATGCAGCTGAGCTGAGATGTAGGGAACTAGCAGCGCATAAAGGAAGGGAGGAATGCCTTCCCTCAACCCGTGACTTCTCTCGTGCAAACTGCAGGCCAAGTACAGGCTGTAGTCCTCGACTTATAGCCACAATTGAGCCCAGAATGTATGTTGCCACGTGAGACATTTGTTCAGTGAGTTTTGCCCCCTTTTACAACTTTTCATGCTCCGTTTGTTGAGTGAAACATTGCAGTCATTAACTTAATGACACAGTGGTTAAATGAAACTGGCTTCCCCATTATCAGAAGGTTGCAAAAGATGATGACGTGACCCCGGGACACTGTAACCATCATAAATATGAATCAGTTGTCAATCCGAATGTAAATCACATGACCATGGGGATGCTGCAGTGTGAAAAATAGTCATAAAAAGTCACCTTTTTCCATGTTGTCATAACTTTGAACGATCACTAAATGAACTGTTGTAAGTCGAAGACTACACCTGTCATGCTCCTGGTGGAAACTGACCCTGAGGGAGAGGAGGAATAGCTGACAGGGAGTGCGAGTGTGGCTCCGGAGGCTGGGGAGAAGGCTGGGGAAGGGTAGAGGCAGCTGAGCAGTCAGAGGAGGACCCAGGCCCATCCCCTCTCCATCCTAGGGCACGTAGGGAGAAGAGGGTAAGGGAGAGACATGGTCTACTTGGAAGGAGAGGGCCTTGATCCTCTTCATGGCCTGCAGCTGTGACAACTGAATAAGAGTATGGACCTGCGTACTGGTGAACGCTGGAAACAAAGCGTGTAAATATGTCTAGTTTATAGTTCCTCTCTGAGTTTGGCATCCTTCCCAGTGTGTGTTATCTGTGGACATCCTCCAGCCCTTATCTTTCCTGGTTTGTGCTGCTTTTTTCCTTCTTTGTGTAACTGCTTGTGTGGGAGTTTTTTTGTCTTCCATCAAAGATATTCGAAGCTTGGAAGCAAAGTGAAGGAATAAAAGGGGCTTCCACTGTTTTCTGTGACTGTGTTTGTTTTGTATCCCACCCTGGGTCATCACACTACCTGTATGTTGTAAGAGAGAAGCATTGGCAGAAACAACCAACATGTACAGTTTTTATTGATTGTAAGCTTTTGGTTTCATGCAGGTGAGGTTATGTGCAAAATATAATTGTGATCCACGTTCAAGCTTTGGTTAATTTGTCTTGAGGTTTTCCTTCTTTCCTTTCTTTTGGCTGGAGTGAAACTCCTGAATTTTTAGTTACAGAACTTTAAGCACACACACACAAAAAAGTAACCCATTATGTAGTTCCTGAATGGTGTGTGTTCTCCCTCCACCTAATTGACATGAACTAAATGGAAGCACTACAGGCAGTTTGAACAAAGAATGCCTGCTTTTTAAAAATGAGTTTGCCAGCACTATTGAATTTGCAAGGAGCCAAGTCAGCATCTTAAGCCATTTCAGTCTGTTGCAGAATGACATTTTATTTAGCAATGTGGAACTTGTTAAACGGTTCCCTTGAGCTTTAAAAGCATCTTTCCACATTTTGCAGGACCTGCGGGAAGTATGGCTTAATTATCCTCTGCACCCTCTGCAAGTAAGTGTCCCGGCTTTTCACTAACGAATTTCAGAACAGTTTAAGGATGCCTTTTATTGGTCTTTTGTCTGGGTTGACATCTTTGAGCACTTCAAATGCACATATGGCCTTTGTGAATTTTTTTTTTTTTTGGCAGCTAATAAGTGTCAAGTGCTCGGGCTTAAAGGCAGGCAAGAATTTTAGAGGAGACAGGTGGGCGGGCAATAATTGGGCAGGCCGATGTCAGTCACAGGGCAGCCGCTTGGAAGACCACCAGCTTGGTGGCATCGGGGAGAGAACAAGCTGGCAACTTTGCTCAGCGTGAGACTATCTCCGGATGGAAAAAATGCAACAAATCTCAAAGCCTCAGGGAGGCAGGGCATCCATATGGCCTTTTCAGTGTCACCTGATTCCTTTGGGAGGATTCAGGAAGACTGTCAGCATCTCAGCTGGAACTTTCCTCTGCTAAAACGAGAAAGAGATAGAAAGCAGCTCTCTGAAGAAGAAGGTTCTTTTCTGAGCTAGCAACATTTCCTCAGGAACAGGGGTCTCCAACCTTGGCAACTTTAAGCCTGGCGGATTTCAACTCCCAGAATTCCTCAGCCAGCTTTGAATTCTGGGAGTTGAAGTCCGCCAGGCTTAAAGTTGTCAAGGTTAGAGAGACCCCTGCTCCTGAAGGAATTTATTTCCTCATCTTCTCCTGGGAAGGTTGATTCTTCCTTGATTTCCAAGGCAGGCAAGGGAAAAAGATGTCTTCCACCATCTCAAATGTAGAATTAAAAGAGAAGAATAAGAGCACTTCTTTCCAAAGCTCTTAAAACTTTGGGGGAATGTTCTTTAATGGACTCCTCTCTGATGGCCAATCATGTGCAATTTTGGTATCCCTGGACAGAAAGATACAAGATATAAATGGAGTATGTTATTCACAGTTATAGTATGAATACTTAAGGTTTTTTTCTTCTTCTGAAATTGAATAAGCCAAAATAGATGTTAAAAGTAAGGAGAAGTGAAAGAAAAGAATGATTTTTTTTGTCTATCAATTTTTGTTATGATTGCTGCTCCTAAAAGTTTTATTTCTATGGTTTGCATATGAATACCTAAATGTGCTATAAACAGAATGTTGGTAATGTGCTATAAAGCTAGGTAAGTCCTATCATTTATTGGAGCATTGCATTGTTTATCTTGTAAAAATCACACTACTGGCTGAAACATCCCCCACGTTCCGGTTTTGTTCTTAGAAAAGCTAATTTTAACAGAAGTGGAACAAGGCCCTATAAAAAAATGCAATTAAGTTCCTGCAATATCCCCAAGTTTGAGCATCCTATTTTCACACTTTCAGCAAACATTCTTGCTAGCTTCCAGCTAAAATAATTTAATGGGAAAATATTAGATTAAAGAAAACAGGCAGAGGATTCTACAGTGAAATAAAACCTTTTGAATTATGTTTTTATAGGAAAAAAATGGAGAGATTCATTGATTACATTTATATCTTTTTTTAAAAAATATCCGCGTGCAGTTAATCCATGGGCCACTGGAAAAAAATAGAATATATAGATATCGTAGTTAACATTCTGAAAGAAAAAAAGAAATCAGCTGGGAGGGGTAATAAAACTTGGCAATAGCTAAAACGGTACAGTATACATAAGCATGAGAGAATAGGACCTCTGCAATTATCAGTAAAATTACAGACTTGGAACACATGAGGATCCTGAAAAAATTTCTGAGAACTCTTGGAACTATTATGTTTATACATGTTCGTAGGTTACTGAATCTTCCTATATTTAAAGCTAGGTTAAAATATCTTTCAGACTGAGCTTCATTCTTGTTGAGTTCACAGTCACTGACTGCTGTGTAGTTCTCATGGCAACATCATAACAGCATCTGGTTGTTGCTTTGTTCCAGGAGCCTTTCTTCATCTTCCCTGAGATTTGGGGGGGGATCTCCCATCCAACTACTAACCCAATCCGATTCTGCTTAGCATTTCAAGGTCAGCTAGGTGTTGTAGGTAGCATTATATCAGGATGTGTTTCAGATTAAATTTATGGTGCAGAATCTGCATTTAGTCATTCTTTCTCCAATGTAGTATCTTTCAGATAGCCCTTCATGGTTCATATCTAGAACCATGATAATGCACTGCTGAAATTTAGCAATGAAAATTAAAATTTAACCAAAATGTACCGGTTAGAGGATGAGATTTTTATATGTGTTTTAATCCACTGCTGGTTGATAACCAAAATAAAGAGAATTGAGTGATTTTAACTGAGAATTAGGAGTGGGAATGGGAACAAAGGATACGTTACATTGCTTTTCTCATCATCAGATGAACAAAATTGAACTGACCTTCAAGACAGCTTCATTATTTAAGGACACTTTTTATGGCTTTAGGGTGAAAGAATGGGAGAAGTACGCTATTCCTATTTCCTTCTCTTTAATTTCTGCCTAACTCTCCAGTGGGCTCAAATTAGTTTGAATATTGGCAAAGGCCATTTTTGAAAGGCATTAAAAGTAACGGATTGAATGTTTTGCTTAACAGAGACCTCCTCCTTCCCATCTTTACAATCTGTTCTCAAACTACCCCAAAAAATGAGCTAGAAAATATTGGGTTTTTTTTCCCTTCCAGGTGACTTCACTGGATGGCTTCCTGCGGCCTTCCAGGAACTTGGAAAGCCCAAGCTGTCCATCACTTATAAGAGATGAAGTCTAATAAATATGGAGTGAATAAGACTGGGGGAAATAGTTGTAGGAAAGCTTTAGTATTTATTTAATAAAGCATAGTAAAATTAAACAAGATTGCTGCGTAGGAGAAAAAAAAAATGGTGATCCTGAACCTTGATTGATTGATTTATTTTTGCGATGGCAATAGCATTCTTTAGAGTTTGCCATTAAAAAGTGCTTCATGCTCAGTTCATGCATTGTTGATTTTTTTTATTACTCAAATTTATGTTGCCGCCTGTCTCACTGAAGGTGATTCTGCTTAGTGCATAACAATAGATAAAAACGTAATAACAATTACAAATGCAAAAGCAGTAGTAATAAATATCCTAAATCTCCAAAATGAAGGGAGAATTTTAAAAAATGCCCCTTCAACAATGGAGTCTGGTCAAATCCCCAGTTCCGTTGAAGCCCCAATAACCAGATCTTGAGGGCCTTCCAGACAATCAAAAGGGATGGAACTAACCTAATTTCCGGAGGAAGGATGTTCCTTTAGGCAGGGGCCACAGCAGAGAAGACATGTGTCCTGGGACCCTCCAAAGGTAGATCTTTGGCCGGTGGTAATTATTAGGATAGCATTGCAAGCTATCAAAGCGTCCACTGTGCGGTGATTAAGACATCATATTACAAAGATGGAATGTAAAGTACCTAATCAAGCTCCTTCCCTTGCTTTCTGATTTCAGCTCTTAAGTTTCTCCTCTAAAATTAATTTGTTGTCCTCATTGTTTAACAGCTGCAAGAATCTAACACTGACAGACAGCTGATTGAGACGTCTCCTGTCCTCCAGAAATTGACTGAGTTTGAGGATGCTATTGGAGTAATTTTTACTCACGTTCGCCTCTTGGCGCGGGCTTTCACTTTGAGAACAGTGGGATTTAACCATCTGACGCTGTGAGATTTTTTTTCTTCTTCTCCCAAATAAATGCCTTGCACTTTCTTTCTGTGGGAAGACTGAGTGGCTGTTGTTGTCCAGGAAGAAAAATTGGGCTTGTGCTGATCTACAACTGTTTTCCCAGTTCAGATTTTCCCAAACCTCTGACCCTAGAGGTCCCACCAAAGCATCTTAGGGTTTGCCAGATTTGTAAACTTATTTGTTCCAGATTAGTTGAGATTTTATCACATAAATATTGAAGGACAAGAAACAACATTCTTGCTTACTGAGATGCTTAACTACCCAAAGTTTGCTTCTGGCCCTGGCATAAGTTGAATCATCTCTTCTGTTTTTAACTAGCTACAATTTGGCATTTCATTCAAATTAAGCAATTTGTGCAGAAGAACCATAGTTGAAAGTATCCAGAGGTTGTTTTCTTTTTTTTAAACGTATGCAGAACCACAGTCAAGCAAATGTTCTTTCACAGGGACATTTGATGCAATCCCCTCACTTCATACAGTTTATGTTTTCATAAAGTGATTCATAGCTAAATTTATAGTGGTTTCCCCCTTATTACTTCTGACAACCTAAAAGCATTGTTTTGTCTTACCCGGCAGAAGTGGGATTTGCAGCAACCTGCAAAATGACATTCTGTGCACAGTGGCATCACAGAAATGCTGCAATTACGTGCATAATCATAACATTTACGTGGTGACATCAAATAAGTTTTGTCATTTGACTCCCCTTTGCTCTCCCACAAAAACCCATACTTAGCAAATAAAAATACACCGCATTGTCTTAAACTGTATGATACGATCACCAGCGTATTGTTCTGCCTTTTAAAAAAATATCCAGCTCTCTACAGCATTGTAGCATTGTTCCTTTCTCTGTATAATCTCTTCCTTTAATCTCATGCTTCAGGGGCCATAATCAGAGGATGGAGTTTCTGGGTGATTCCATAATGCAGTTGGTGGCTACCGAGTACTTATTTATACATTTTCCTGATCATCACGAAGGCCACTTAACGGTGAGAGTATCATTCATTATATTTGGCAGGAGTAAAACTGGAATATTCTGATTATGGAAGGAAATGGAGAAAAAGAGAAGAACTTTGTGAAAGCAGCAAGTGAATTATTCTGGGCTTAACCGAACATCTGCAGCCTCACTCCTCTACTTGCTCTTAATAAGGTTCTGTTAATTTCAAAATGTGTATCCTGCCACAATCAAGGAAATGTGATTTATGGAGCCTGAATGTGATGTTATCTCTTCCTTAAAACAAATCAATAGCTTTAATAACCATGCTGATTAAGTTATTTCTCTAAAAAACTAGAGGTAATTCCAGTTCATTTGCAGGAGAGCAAAAACAATTGAAATAAACATTAAGATGGGGCGCTGTTCTTGCTTCTTGGAGGTGAATAGTTCAAGCAGCAACTTTATGAAGTTTGCTTTTTCTAGCCTCCTCCCAGCTTTCTTCCTGATTATAAAGCTAAGCTGTAGGCGAACAATCTTACATCTTAGAGGTTGTGTATGACTGTCATTCACAAGAACTGGGGGCTGAAGATCCATAAAGAGCTTGCAGGAAATTGCTGATTGGTTTTCTGCTGCCATTAGTGGCAGGAAATCAAATATTCTAGAAACCGGCAATCTCCAGTATGTTTCAAGAAGCGAAAGGGGTAAAAGAGGCAGAATAATGAATGATAGCTATATGTGGGGGAGAAAGGAACACACATATATATGTGAATGAATAAGTGCAGGCAACTAGGAATCTCTATGGTTCGCTTGAGTGTAAAAATAGTGCTCTCCATTGCACTGGGATGTAAATGGATTTGGGGGGGGGGGGGTTAGGAATTTTAGGAACTACAGATCACATCTCTTAGATGAAAAATAGATGAAATCAAATTAGAGAAAGGACATGTCCAAAGTGCATTTTTCCTCTTCGTCATGTATTATTTTTTTCCTCTCATTCTCTGACTTCTATCTCTATCCTGCTTAAAATCCTTCATTTTTATTTCAGCATTTGCCCAAAGAAGGCAGAAAGGGGTTACAAAACAATTTGTGGGTGTGCTGGTTGTATCTTCATGGGGGCTTGACCCTCCAGATATTTAGACTTCCTCTTTTGATGGCTTAGCAGTTCTAATGGAGAAAGATGTTGAGGCTATGGATTTACTTGCTTAACAGTGGTAATTGTGACTGGAAACTTCATTACTAATCAGCACTGTCCTTAAGCACAACGTGATGTGACCATGCCAACTAATAACAGCAGTGCCAGCGTTTCTAGCTGCCATTGCAAAGTAAACTTGTACACTATCATGAGAAGCTTACATAACCATGGCTGGCGAGACCTGCAGGCTTCCCTTTTGACTTTACCAGTGAGAAGCCGGCGGGAAAAGTTGCAAATTTTGATCACATGACCAAAGACACTGCAACAGTTGGAAATGCAGGCCAGGTATCAAGTGTCCGAATCATACCCACAGGACTGAGGGGATGCTGCCACAGGCAGAACTTCAGCAACGCTTATGAGTCAGACTCATTAAAATTCCATTATAACTTTGAATAGTCACAGAACGAATGACTAATCTTGTTCTATTGTTAAGTAAAGACTACTAGCCATAATCTCAAACCTTCCAGTATGTGTACCATGCCTAGCCTTGACTTGAGATGCTAAGATACAGTTTACTGACTTTGCATTACTTAGAACAGGGGTCTCCAACCTTGGTAACTTTAAGACTTGTGGACTTCAGTTCCCAGAATTCCTCAGCCACCTTTGAATTCTGGGAGTTGAAGTCCACAAGTCTTAAAGGTACCAAGATTGGAGACCCCTGACTTAGAAAGTGCAACCCTTAGAGTTTTTTTTTTTTCATTAAAAGAGACCATGAATAATTTTTAAGAGTTTGGTGATAGACTAAATAGAATACAGAATAACAGAGTTGAAAGGAACCTTGGAGGTCTCCTAGTCTAACTCTCTGCCCTCTTAAAGATAAAGGTTCCCCTCTCACATATGTGCTAGTCATCTCTGGCTCTAGGGGACGGTGCTCATCTCCGTTACAAAGCCGAACACCCAGCGCTGTCCAAAAACATCTCTATGGTCATGTGGTCAGCATGACTAAATGCCGAAGGTGCACAGAACGCTGTTACCTTCCCACCAAAGTGGTCTCTATTTTCTAAGTAGGCAGAAGCTAGGACAAGTAACGGGAGCTCCCTCCATTACGTGGTGCTAGGAATTTGAACCTCCGAATTGCCAACCTTTCTGATCGACAAGCTCAGCATATGAGCCACCACGTCCCTTACCCTGCCCCTTTAGGAGACCCTAAGAACCCCTTCATCAGCCATCCTCCTTCATGATCATTATTCTTTAAAAAGATTTTAAAAAGCAGATGCCCTTATCAATGCTGTATGATCTTTGAACCTTCTAGGCCAGTGGTTCCCAAAGTGGATGGTACTGCCCCCTGGGGGTGGGTGGGTGGGATGACTTAGGGGGGCACTAAGAAGCAGCAGAGGGGTGCTGGAGGTGAGCAGCAGGGCACAATTCAGGGGTGAGAAAAAATCCCCCCGCTGCGTTCGAGGTAAGGCTCTGCAGGATTGTCCCATTGCAAAAGACTCAATGGGGTGATCCTGCGGGGCCTTACCCCGAACGCAGTTTTGCTCTCCTTTTCAAACATCCTGCACGCTCTGGTGCAAAAGGCTCAATGGGGTGATCCTGCAAGGGCCTCAACCCGAATGCAGAATTGGGAAAGGAGAGCAAAGCCAAAGTGGTTTTGCTCTCCTTTTCAAACATCCCGCCGCTGCTGCATTCAGGGCGAGCCCCTTGCACCGGAGGCACCTGCCCAAGCAAATCCGAACGGAGCGGTGCACAGAGTCAATGGGGTGAGCCTGAGAGAGGGTAAGAGAAAGGAAAGAGAGAGAGAGAGAGAAAGAAGGAAGAAGAGAAAGGGAAAAGGGAAAGAAAGAAAAAGGGACAAAGAAAGAGGGGGATGGAAGGAAGGGACAGAAAGAAAAAGAAATAAAGAAGGAGGGAGGGAGGAGAAAGATAGTGACATATCTATTCTAGTCCAATCACCTGCTCCAGCAGGGTTAGAAGGGAGTGTGTGTGTGTGTGTTCTCCTTGTAATTTACCAATACATTTTGATTTTGCCTTCTTCAGAATTGGCACTGTAATACATTGGGGAAAAGTAATTTTTAGGGTGGAGATCTGGTCCAATGGATCCTGTTTAAAGCATCAACAAAATGTGAGAGCTTCCTGATAGTCTTGGCCATGTTTCATGCACAAAACCTTTAATTAATAGAAGCCAAAGATGTTTCAATGTGTTGGCAAAGATGCTGGCAAAGATGTTTCAATGTGGAAAAGGGCCTCTAAACTAGGCCTCATTTCAATCTGATGCATCAGGTCTCTCTCTTTCCCTCTCTCCCCCTCCCCCGTCCATCCCCCCCTTTCTTTGTCCCTTTTTCTTTAGAGTAGAGCAAAGCCAGAGGTCGGTAATTTTTGCTGCAAAGAATCACAAAAGCTTCTGGGTTGTGCACAAGAAGGAACACACATGTCAGTGCAATTCAGCAACATAAAATAAAGAAATACAAATAAAACAAGAATCGGCAAAGCATCTCTGATTAGATTTTATTCACTACTAGAATCTAATCAGAGATGCTTTGCCGATTCTAGTCCAATGACCTGCTCCAGCAGGGTTGGAAGGGAGTATGTGTATATGTGTGTGCATGGCTCTCAAAACTCCAAAAACAGGTCAAGTAGTTCTGGGGAGGCCAGTCATAAATTAGAACACTTGCTAAGCAAACGGCCATTAAGTGAGAACCACTTGTATTTGGTTTGCCAGTCACCAAAACACCCACCCAGTCACGTGACCAGCAAGCCACGCCCACCCAATCACGTGACCAGCAAACCAACACCCTCAAATTAGGCCACGCCCACAGAAATTTGAATCCCGCCCCTGGGTGGGGGGCATTGAGGATGAGTTTGTAGGACCAAAGGGGCGGTGGACTGAAAAAGTTTGGGAACCACAGTTCTAGGCAGTTTAAATTTTAACACTACTTTTTTTGTTTGAAAAGGGAAACCTATCTCCCTATTCCCTTTCTGTTTTGATTCCTTTGAGCTCACTTGCAACCAAGCTCTTTTATTCACTATGATTGATGTTCTAGTTCCATCCAATTTGTGCACACGTATGTTGCTTCCTTCCTAACAGGATGATGCTTCCAAATTGTGTTTTTCATTGAATCCATTGGAAACAGAAAGTTGCTTTTCTGTGTCATGTGCCTTCCATTTCCCAGGTTTACTATCTTCTTTCAAATACCACCCATATCTTTTAGTCTTCCACAGAAATTTCTCCCTCTCAGCTACTCATCCACTCTTCATATCCTATGCAAATTTCAACATTTTTGCTTTGATTCATAGCAGAAATAATCCCAAGAATATTATGTGCTTATTCGTTTGGAAAGTTATTGCTGTTAATTAGCGTTTTTGCCTCCCCCCCCCCCCCCAACTAATTCTTGAGTCTCATAGATGGCTGCATTTCTTTAAACAACTCCCCCCAAACCCACCCCCTCTATCTTCTTACAATGGACACATTGGGGACCAACTCATTTGTCCAGTATGAGAGGATTATATGTTTTAAAACTATTTCTGCTCAATTAGCCAAAGCCATAATAATGCTTAAAATCAAATATGGAAGTAATAAGGCTTCAGCGTGTGAATTTTTGCAAGTTTACTTTAACAGCTAGGAGCAGTATTCTTAGACACTTTCATAATTAGCAAATCATTAAGTAGCTCTCTTTGTTTCAAATGCAAGTAACAGGGCACACTATGGATTACTTTCAGTGTGATATTAAAGGGTGGCTAAGCAGTTACAAAAAGAAGCTAGGTAATCCTCACTTGTGTTTCTTTCCCCCGTAACTGTGAGGAGAAACAAGGAAAGTTTTGCTTTGATTAACCATGATTTGGCCACTGTTCTTGAGACTTGGTGAAGTGCTTCATGTTAATCATAATCACAAGAATTCAGTTTCAAATTGCATTTCATGTAACTGGGCTGGTTCCATTACCTTGAGTTACAGTTAGGCATAAAATTCATGATTTGTTTTCAAGCCTTCATTCAAACTATTTTAAAAATAAATTTAATTTTGGACAGAATTGCGAACTAAAAAGCATTGTCAAGAATCTCCTTCGATTTTACACAGGGCTAATAGACTTCCTTAGATTTCTTTTTAAAGAATTGAATGGCTGTAGTCCATAGCTTACTTGCAAATGTGTCCATCACCAGACCAGAAAAGATAATCTGGGGTTTCAAAGTGTCTGTTTGAGGAGAACAGCTGGAGAGGATGGGAAGGATCAACCTCACCAGTCTTTCTTTTGGTCAGTTGGTATTATGTGATTGGTCTCACTTACTGAGTCATCTCTTTTACAAATGGGCAAACTTCCCTAGCTTTCTGGGTAACAATGATATTATCTCAACATTATAATGTGTCTTTTTATTTGGAATGGTTGTGTACTACTAGTCTAAACTGTGGCTAATCTAAAAAGAGTTGGGAGGAACTTCTGTTGACTGCGTACCAAGACAAATAACATTTGATTGCAAGGGTGGGTAATTTTTTTTTCAATGTTTGCCTTTCTTGATAAAAAGACAATCTATACAACCGGATAGGATGCTTGACATTTAAGATAAATTAGAGATAGTGCACGATCAGCACAAATCATTCTGCTTTTCTTAGGCCAGGAGAGAAAAGGAACACCTGTATATTTTGGGAGCACCTGAATCTTTCTAGCCTTTTTCTTTTGCCCTTTGAAGGTATGCAGTGAGGTGAAATGTGGCAGACCTTCCCTATTAACATGAGGAAGTTGAAGAACGAAGGAGTGGGATAAAAGTGTCCACCTCATTTCTCTGTTTCTTCTTTGAAAAATTGCTAGAAGAAAACAGGAGGTGTTTATACCAGATAAACAGTAGCACTTCTTCGGTTTTGTTTCGTCAAGGAAAAGCTGACAACATGTTATTTGTCTAGGCCAGGGGTAGGGAACTATGGCCCTTTCATGACTTGTGGACGTCAACTCCCATCAGCAGAAATCATACTGACTCAGGAATTCTGGGAGTTGAAGTCCACAAGACTTCATAAAACAGCCATAGTTACTCACCTCTGATCTAAGCGAAAAATTGGGAATTGCTCCTCAGAATACCATGCACATTTACCTGAGTGGATTCTCTTGCCTTGGCAGTTGTTGCGAAGCTCTTTGGTCAACAACAGGACACAAGCCAAAGTGGCAGAAGAACTGGGCATGCAGGAGTTTGCCATTACTAACGATAAGACCAAACGGCCTGTTGCACTGCGAACAAAAACATTAGCTGATCTTTTGGAATGTAAGTACTAATGCTGTTAATTCATTTTCCTTCTCTAGTGATTTGATAGCTAAATAAAGTTTGGTGATACAGCAACAGTTAAAGGCAAGAACCGGACCAAAGAACCTCTAAGGTGCTGGCTTAAAGAAAGTTTGTTTATATCAGGGATCTTCAAACTTGACAGCTTCAAGACTTGTGGACTTCCACTCCCAGAATTCCTCCTCCAGTCATGTTAACTCAGGAATTCTGGGAGTGGAAGTCCACAAGTCTTAAACTTGCCAAGTGTGAAGACCCTTGGTTTATATGATAGATCTGTTACCGCTAGCTGCCATCCTGAGGATCTAAAATGTGTACATTTGTATAATTTACATTAGAAAATGAATTGCTTTTCATTGTTATGCTTATTCTTAGATACCCCAACTAAAGAAACAAAGGAAAAAAATTGACTTCCTTCTTTTATTTGAAATATAATCAATTTATAATTTCCTAAGTAGCATTGTTTCCAAAGGCACTGTGATGAAAACCCACATTGTAAATGAAATATCACCTTTTTCTTAATTTTAAGTTTGTTTGACTTTTTTTTTAAGTTGTTCTTCCTGTGCAAGAGAAGTGGCAATAAATATCAGGCCCAAAAGGTAATCTTTATCCAGAGCATTTTAATATATTTTGTGAGTTGAGCGGGCCCAGTGTCTCTTGCCAGATCCTTTTAGTAAATGGAAGTAGTTCACAAAGAATTATAATTTATGGCCAAGCGATGAGAGTGTGTGCTTTGCTGTGATTTATTTCTAAAAACTTACAGTCTCCTGGCTAAACAATGGGTTTTGAAGAGCTGTCTCTTTGTCTAGTTTTTCAGAATTGCTTCTTAATTAATTTGTGTAGATCTTGGCATTTTTCATTGGTTCAGTTTTCAGTTTTTGTTAAAGAAGAAAGTCTATACTGCAATATAGAATGATGTTGTGTTTTCTCAGTGACCTTGAATTAACCCAGCTGCCTCAAACACAGTTCTGAAGCAGAACCGGGCAGGAAGGTGAAACTTTCCTTAGTAGAAACTGGATAGATGGTATGTTAAGGTAGAAAGACTATTGTGAAAAGAGTAGGTAGGTATCACCTGTTAGCGTATTAGGAACAAAAGTGGAAGAATCTTTGATTGGGATTGGAAATAGTTTTCTTGGCCTGATACTTGACCTGATATGTCAAGATGGCAACCTGACTGAAAATTAAGTCAAAACACATCCTGAGAGTACAAGGAGGGGGAAGGCCAATTTGGGAGAAATTTGTTTCTCTCAAGTATAAAACAGCCTCAACTGCAAGGGGGAAAAAAGTATAAGAGTAAAACAGCCTCAGCTGCAAGAATATTGAAACATTGCAAAGTTTAGCAGCTGCGGGCTTCCAGTTTGAGCTTCTTCAGCGACAGACCGAAACCTCGTCTCTGCAAGGCTTCAATCTGTGCTCGCCACTGGAGTGCCCCGAGCCGGCTGGCTTCAGGGCTAAGCCACCCCGTAGAGGTGGTGAAGAGGGGTAGACTGCCTGCCGGGTTGAGGAGAGCCGCATCTCTCCTCCCCAGCTGGCCATTGCTCCCTTTCCCGAAGGCAGTTGCAGCGGTGGTCAGAAATGGCCACCACAAAAAAGAACTCAACCGGAAAAGAATGTGCAGGAGGAAGATAAGAGGAGAAAGTTTTGGTTGACCGGGTCAAACAGCAAAAGTAACAAATAAGGTACCCTGGAATTGAAACTATTAAAAAACAATAACATTGTTCCCTAAGAAGATTTTTAAGCTGCGAAAGAGAGAGAAAAGGGAAAAGATTTGGTTTTTTTTCTCCTTTTCCTATGCTGACAGCTAAGAGACTTAAGCAAGAAATTGACAAAAAATCTACTTTGACATCTATAGGCATTTAATGCTGAAAATAAAAAGTCAAAGGGATAATAAAGATTTCTGGATAATTAAAAGCTTTTGAAAACAGGAAAGGAGAAAGGAAGAATAAAAGGGCAGGATCTGGTAGGGAGGAGACTGCCTGGAATTAAAAAGGAACTTATAGCAAAATCTCAACAAGACTTCCAAAAGATACATTCTAACTGAAATATCGCAACAAAAACCCCAGGAAGAGAAAGTCGAAAAAGAAATAAGAAGATATAACTCGGGACTATCTGGATTACTTGATGATTTCTGGATTCTTGGTTATTGTTTTGAATGACTAAAATCAATTGGGTGGTTGTTTAAAACTGTTTAAAATAGCTCCACTTTTAGAAAAACTGAAAATGGAACTTAAAAAGTACAAAGAAGATGCACAAGAAGAGAGAGGTTCTTTTGGCTTCGTATTTCAGTTTTTGAAGGCGAAAATCTATAACTCTGTGGTGCGCCCCGTGGCCATATACGGCGCAGAGTGCTGGCCGACGACCAAAGAAGTCGAAAGCAGACTCCAGATAATGGAGATGCGAATGCTCCGATGGTCGGTAGGCCTCACCCTACTCGATCGCGTCAGGAACGAAGAAGTGCGTAGACGGTTCAACGTCGTGCCCATCCCCACGGTCATGAGGCAGTCCCGGCTACGATGGTTCGGCCACGTGAGCCGCGCCAAGGAAGAATCCATCATCAAATCTGTAATGAAGGTGACTGTCGGAGGAGCGAGACCGCGTGGTAGACCTAAACAACGCTGGATGGACACGATCAAGGCCGATCTAGAGATCGCGAAGGCAGACCCGACACACGTGGCAGACAGAGAGGTGTGGAAGCAGTACTCAAGGACATTAGCGGACCTCGCCCGAGCGCGAGACAAACGCTGAAGAAAAAGAAGAAGAAGAAGAATTTCAGTTTTTAGAAATGGAGATTTGGAATTATGAGAAACAACAAGAAATGCCCGCAGAACAAGAAAATTGCGACAAAGAAGAAGCCATCTTTAATTGAACAAGTAATCTTAGATGGGGGGAAAAAAGGAAAGGGGGGAAAGAGAATGGAAAGTTTAAGATTGGGAAAAACAACTCCCCCCACCACCACCAAAAAAAAAAAAATAGAGTGAAAAATAAGTATAAAATCAGAAAGCAACAGAAGAGGGAAATGCAGAAGAGAGAATTAGAACTAGAGAGACAAGGGGGTAAAAAGGGGAGGGAGAAGATGAGAGGGAAGAAAGAAAGGAAAAGAAGTCATAAAGGACAGAAATAAAATACAGAGAAACAGGGCCTATTTAGAGTTAATGGGTGAAAATTTAATGGAAAAGGGGATTCTACAAAGGTACATAAGATAGTATCGTTATATTAGAAACAGAAATAATTTTAGAAAATATGAAACAATGTATGATTAAAATGTCTGATAAAATAGCTATCGTAATTCAGTGGAATGCTTGTCAATAAATAAATGAAATAAAAGGTATATTTAATGATTTATAAAACGTGAAGAGAAATAAGGGAAAAATTAATTATGGAGATTATATGTGTTTTTAAGGAAGTATGATATTTAATTGAAAAGAAGTGTTACAGATGTTAAGATTTTAATGATAATTAATGATAGAACTGAACTGGAACGGAATGAGGGTTTATAATTACATATATTTACAATCTTTTTTTTTTAAGAATATAGTGAGTATTATAAGAATGTACCAAGCAGAATTCGATTGGAAGTTATGTATTATGTATTATATTGAAGGTCATAACCTTAAGGTATATATTGAAGTTTAAATAAGAGTTGAATGGATGTAATTAAAAGATATAAAGGTGTCATACTCCAATTAGTAATTACAGGAGAAAACTTGTTTAATGAGAAAAGATAATATGAAATTGAAACAGAACAGACAAAAGTATAAATAAAATGATTTGAATTGAGATGAGATAATCAAAATAAAATTGAGAAAATTAAAAGAGGGGGGAAACTATATAGAAAATGTAGAATAGTATAAGATATGGAATAGAATACAAAAAGGAGCATGAAATTGAGTTTTGTGTCTGTATAAAGAAGTTCAACCCGGGACCATGCTATTTTCAAAATAGATGTTTTACTTGTATTTTATATGTGTGAAAATCCAAATAAAACTTTATTTTTTAAAAAAACAGCCTCAGCTGCAAGGGGGGAAAAAGTATAAGAGTAAAACAGCCTCAGCTGCAAGAAAAAGCCATAGTCTAATATTGAAACATTGCAAAGTTTAGCAGGATGTTTGTTTGCTATCCCCCCCTCCCCTGAAGGGAAATCTATTAAACAGTAGACTCTGATAGATCTTCAGTGGAATTCACATTTAAAGAATTTGAATTCCCACTCCTCACCCCAAAAAGGAAAGTATTCGTAGTGAACCAATAACACAACAACGTAATCTGTTTTTTTCTCAATGTAGTGCTTTCTTAAAAGCACTTGGACTATAATTCCTAGAATTAATCAATTACTTGTAAGTTCTAAACTGTGCAAAGGACACTAGGGTGGAACAGTCATCTCTATTAAAATACATAGACTAAAATACTGACTGAAAATAATTTGATCAGATCGATTATTTTTAAAAAAATTTGGTAATTTTAAGAAGTTTAGATGTCTACTACCATCATTTGTCAAATTTGAAAAACACTGATTTAGACCAAGGCCATTACACACGTATCCATCTCCTGTGTTTCTCCCAGCCAACCTTAGATGGAGAGTGTAGCACTGTTCTAACAGAATGGGAAGGAAAATCCAGAGTATAGCCCTTGTACCTGTAATCGTTAGAGGCATTCCCCTGCACACACTTCTTTCCTGTATAGATATGGAAAGTGCTAAAAGCACAAGCTTTCCTACAGCTCCCAGCACAAATCTTGGTGTGTGTGAAAGACACAAGTTGTTTCCTTGCTGTTTATTTCTGAGAAAACATTTAGTAAATCAAGTATCTGCTTTTGCTTTTCATTTTATTTTTACCTCTTTGCTCATGTCTTCCATATATCTTTTGTGGATAGTGTGGACTTTAATATCCCTGCAATATTTTCCCCCTCCTCTCAGACTTTCCTGCTTCCCAAGATGGTAAAAATACCTTTCACCTAGTTATGTGTGTTTTTGATGTCTTACTATATACCATCGCACATCACCATTGACTTGGAATATTTGCAACAGATTGTCTAGGAATATTAACGTGTTTTTGAAAGAAAATAATATTTGCTAATGTTTGGTTATTCCTTCTTCCTCAGCCTTTATCGCTGCTCTGTACATAGATAAAGATCTTGAATATGTCCACACCTTCATGAACGTCTGCTTTTTCCCACGATTGAAAGTAAGTCTCAGAGCGATTGTTATGTGTTACACAGCCAAGAAGCTGACTTTGCTACGGAGTCCCAGCTGAACCAAGATTTTTGCTGTCTGTGTCCTGAGTAATAATATAGGTTTTAAACCTCTGTTCTCTCACATTCGTGGCTTAGATACAGATAGTGTCTTGATTAGTGCAGTTAATGAAACCCATGAAGAGATCACATTATTTGAATTTGCACTATTCAAAGCGATATTTCCCTGGAAAATAGGGTAATTGCTTCCAGTTCAATGGAAATAAGAGAATTTTTTATACATAATTTTTTAATATGTTATTAATGAAATGCTGAACAACATTAAAAGTGGATAAACCTATATCCAGAGCGTAATTACTATCTCCTGTATTCCGTCTTCAAAATGAGCCTCTTTGTTTTACGCTTCCCTTGAAGAAAACCTTCTTTTGCTCCATTTTCTACAAACTAAAACATCTACAACCCCAACATCTGCAACCTTAACTGTACATACACTAGTGTCGATTGCAGCTACATTAGTCTTGGTTAATTGGATTTTGTCTTATAATAAACATGACCTGGTATCAATTTATCAATCATACTAGATCAAATTCTGCATTATTTAAACACACACAAATTGCAACCCTACCTATATTAAGAGAAAAATATATTTGAAAAGGCTCTTTTTGTTTGGAATCCTAATCCCCATTTTTTTTTCCTGTGAACAATTGTTATTCCTTCGTCTCTCTTTTTTTTTTGGTCCATTTTAGGAATTCATCCTAAATCAGGATTGGAATGATCCAAAATCTCAACTCCAGCAATGCTGTTTAACTCTTAGAACAGAAGGGAAGGAGCCAGATATTCCTCTGTATAAGTAAGGAGATTGATTTGTATACATGCATTGTTACTTTGTGACTCCTTTTTTTATAAATTCCCACATGACTGGAATATCACACACTTCATTCAAAGAAGGAATTAGTTGCTCTGATTAAATGAAAGTATATTGTTGCACTTTGGATCTCAAATTCAGTTTAAAGCATTGGAGATGTAGTCACGAAGGTTTGTGCATGTGGCAATGTGATGGCTGTAAGTGCAGTAGAACATTGATAGTCTTGGGTACATTCAGTTTTCCCAAATTCAGTTCTCACTTTGTCCACTAGAATCGCATTGGTCATGCTATTACTTCTTAAGCTCACCCAATTGCTTTTGCAGATGCAGCACTCACGGCCCAAATTACTTTTCCTTTATGATGGAAATGCTATGAGAGGCACTTAGATTTATATGCCACTTCATAGCACTTTACAGCCCTCTCTAAGTGGTTTACAAAGTCAGCATACTGTCCCCAACAATCTGGGTCCTTGTTTTACTGAGCTTGGAAGGATGGAGGATTGAGTCAATCTTGAGAATCGAATTCCTGGCAGTGGGCAGTTGAGTTGGCTTGCAATACTGCATTCTAACCACTGCACTACCATGTCTCAAGGATATATATATACAGTGTAGTGATAAGTAGTGAGGCCAACTCATTGCCCACTGCCAGAAATTTGATCCTGACCAGCTGGTTGACTCAACCCTCCATCCTTCTGAGGTTAGTAAAATGAGGATTCAGCTAACTTCAGACATGACAGGAACAGACTTTTGCTGTTGTTGTTGTTTAACAAAATGGTTGCTGCTAGAACAGGTAGTACCAGTTTAACATATGTTTGGGGGAAAAGGCTGCAGAAAATGTTGAGATGTTTCATCATTTAAGATTATATTTTTGGATCAAGGGCAAAATATTAAAGATATACTCCATCCTGTTCAAATAAGAAGTGAGGATGTGGTGAAGGATAAGGTAAATGACTATAAGATTGAAGTATGAAATCATTCTAAAATATATGATGCAGTTGATGTTAACCACATAACTATGTATATAAAGTAGAAATTATAGTAGAAAGAGAAGCAATTATTGATTGACAGAGGAAAATTCTCTATTAAGCAAACATAAGTATTCACTAATGAAATGATGGCATTGTTTCATAAAATAATCTGTCAGGGTCCATCCGTGTGCTGTGACTTTTGTTAAAATAGTTGCATTTCTGTTCAGATGTATTAGAGAGAATGTTTTCAGAACTGTTTTTTTGTTTGTTTGTTTGTGGTTTAGAACACTGCAAACAGTTGGACCTTCTCATGCTAGGACATACACCGTGGCTGTTTATTTCAAAGGCGAGAGAATAGGTTGTGGGAAGGGACCAAGGTATGTAAAATGTTTGCATAATTTATATATATTCTATATATTTGCCTGCCTGCCTGCCTGCCTGCCTCCCTATCTATCATCTGTCTGCTGGCCTGCCGGCCAACCTACCTACCTACCTACATTTATCTATCTGTCTGTCTGTCTGTCTATCTATCTATCTATCTATCTATCTATCTATCTATCTATCGTGGGTAAGGAGAGCTAAATGACATTCACTGACGATTTAATTGGACTTCTAAAAAAGTGAATTTTAGAAAACTTCTCCCTTTTCTGCACCTTAACCTGGGATCGAGACAATCTAAGATTCACAGGCACATTGATTCTCAATGTCAAGTATCCAAGGTGAGAAAGGAGAAGTGTGCCTATTAGTGGCATAAAGCAACAGCTTGACACAATACTGAGTTTTAATTATTGTTGGAGAACCTTTTCAGTTTGTAAAATATTCTTTCCGGTGACTTTGCTTAATGCCAGAAGGTCAAGAGATAATGTGTCAGTCACTACTCTTTATTCTGACAAATATTTTAGTGCATTATTAACTTTTTTTTTAAAAAAAGTCCAAGCTCCATTTTTTTTTAATCTCTTGAAATTGTGTTTGGGGACATATTAAAAAGAATGATTGTTAGGGAGAAAAAGAATCTTCATTAGGGAGAGGTAGGACAGAAGACAGTGTCCAGTGCAGAGATGGTATTTAGCAGGTTCTGACCAGTTCTGGAGAACTGGTAGCAGAAATTTTGAGTTGTTTAGAGAACCGGGAAATACTACCTCTGACTGGCCCTGCCCCCATCTATTCTCTGCCTTCTGAGTATCAGCTGATCGGCTGGGTCTTCTTTTGTTGCCCTGCACAGGAGAACGGAACTAGAAAGCAGGTTAATGGGATGGAGAGGGAATGGAAATTTTACAGTATCCTTCCCCTGCCACGCCCACCAAGCCACGTCCACAGAACCTGTAGTAAAAAAATTTGATCCAGTGAGGGAGTAATATATGGAAAACTGGAGAAGAGTCACTCTGTTTAATGCTTTAATGCTTGGAAAGACACTCTAATATCCACAAGTTCTTTTCAAAGAACGCAGCAAATTGATAAGCTGGAACTGGATGCATGGTCATGGTTTACTTTTAGCACACTGTTGCCCCCTGCAGCTTGGTGTCAAGGCCCAGCTAAACCTGGACTCGGTGGCAGCTCAGTCTAACCTGCAAACCGATAAGTATCTTCCAACCTGACTGTCCATTTTATGGAAAAAATGATTTCAGTATGATGAATGGAAAAAATATCTTAAAGTTCTCTGCACGGTAAATGCCAAGTGCTATCTGCAGAATAAATAACATTTAAAAGGTTTTTTCACTTTTCCTCGACTTGACACAAAGCATACTAATCTTAAGAATAACATTAAAACAACTCCTAATAAAATAAGGTGGTTTGGGAAGAAATGGAGAATCCAGTCCATTTTTGCTGCTGAAGATGGGGGCTTGTTTGTTCGTTTGCTTAATTGACTTTTAATTGCTTTGTTCAAACAAATCACCAAAGAATTTTGAAAAGGGGATGTTTAACACTATGGATTCTTTGTTTTTAAAATAACTCTCTGCAAAGTCGTAATATACATGTAGTGCGGGTTTGGCAGACTGGAAGAGTTTTTTATGGTAACAACTGCCAGTAATTATTTGAAAAATTAGTTACTGCACAGCAGTTCTGGGAAGCTGTAACTTGCTTCTGAATTACATTTGTCATAATTTATTTATTTATTTTTTGCAGCATTCAGCAAGCAGAGATGTGTGCAGCAATGGATGCACTGGAAAAATGTAAGTGGGTTTCTTGGAAATTACTAGAGTAATTCTGGGGAAGGAGTTATAAGCATTGTGTCAGCGTCCCAAATAACCAGCTCCAAACCAATAAAGTCCGAGACAGGCATTTCTTCAAAGTTCCATTTTATTAGAGTTGTCATATTGGCACATCTGGGAAAACCCAAATTTGAGAGTTCCGGGTTTTCCCTCCCCAATAGAAATTCAAAGATACATCCCTTGCACTCACCAGCCCATCACATGGTCCAATCAAACATCGTCCCAACTGGAGACATTCCTCCAGACACTCCTCTCCAGGTGCCCGGGTGACATGTCCTTGATTTTATAAGAAAGAATATTGTTGAGTCTAATCTTCTACCTCTCTGTGAAATCCCCCCTCCCAAATTCCCAGGCACTAAATGGGGCAGCCTCGAAGCTTCTAAGTAAAATATGGCTTCCATGGCTGACACATTATGTGCAACAAAGGGAAAATACAGATTAAAGTGAACAAGTGAATATGTTGCCCCAGCACTGTTTACTGTTATCATTCCTGCTAGTAAAATAATGTATTGACTAGTGAACAAACTGTTTTATGTTCTATTATCTCTGTGGTCACAACTGATGCTGAACTTCATGTTGGTTTTTAGGCACGGGTCTGCCAGTAGGCATTGACCTCCAGGCTCATGGATTTTCTCTATTCACCTGTATAGCATTCACATGATATAGGTAGTCCCCAGCATACAACCACAATTGAGCCCAAAATGTCTGTTCCTAAGTGAGTTTTAAGTGAGCTTTGTCCCATTTTTACAGACTTTCTTGCTGAAGTTGTTAAGTGAATCACTGCAGTTGTTGTGTTAGCAACATGATTGTTAAGTGAACCAGACTTCCTCATTGACTCGGCTTGTCAGACGGTTGCAAAAGGTGATCACATGACCCCGGGATGCTGCAACCTATCGTAGATATGAGCCAGTTGCCAAGCATCTCAATTTTGATCACATGACCCTGGGCAATGGTTGTGCAAAAAACAGTCAGAGGTCGTTTTTTTCAGTGCTGTTATAATTTTGAACGGTCACCTAACGAAGTTGTTGTAAGTTGAAGACTTTCTTTACAGATTCCTGTTTTCATAACAGGTTTGATTGCCTGTTACTCAGATTGAGTTCCTCCTTCAAGATAGTTCAAAGCAAAGCAAAATGATGGATGCTTCCTTGATTTTAAGATTACAGAGAAATAATCCTGCAAATCTGAAAACACTTCTCCCCTCCCTTCCTTTCCTCCCTCCCTCCTTCCTTCCTTCCTTCCTTCCTTCCTTCTCAGAGAACAAGGGGAAGCCCCTCCTGAGACGCGGGGAGAACTTTCTCCTCCCCTGTTCGTCTGATCGTTCTCTAAAGCTGTGGCTCCCCTCCTGTCTCTCAGGGCCATTTGCACACAGCCTTTTTACAGATTGCCCAACTTTTGTGATCATTTATCACAGAGTTGAGCAATCACTTGGATCTCATGCACCGCTGCCCCAGGCAGCTATCATGGAAACTTGCTTGAAAAAGGAAGACGAGCAAACCATCTCCAAAGGATTGCTTTGGAGGATGGGGATCATTGTTGGCTTCAGCCTAAGGGAGCCATTGATGTTGACATGGGCTACATACAGTACATGCTGTGCCTATACACAGAATGAGGGTGTTGTGGGGAAAAACCAAAGACTCCCTTTCTAAATAAAATCCTTTCCCCCTGTTGAGAAACTTGCAGGAGACGATCCGTTTGAAGTGGGCTTGTATTTTGGTGAAAGCTGAGATGGGGGCGGGGGGGGGAATATTTGCTTGCTTGCTATTCTGCACAACTTTTTATATCTAGCTTTCTCTCCTTATCATCATAATCCCTTGGAAGCATTCATATTTCAGATCCAATAGTCAGGGACTCAGTCAAATAAAGTACAAGAGCTCTCTGGCCTGGGTCCAGCAAAGCACTTAAGCCCATGCTTAAATTCAGGCCTGCAAATATTCTTCTGACATGGATGATCTACGTACAGTGATTAAAATAAAGTCGCTATTTTGTGAGATGCGGGCATTGTGCTCACCTTGTAAGACTGATAGCAAAACTCACAAGCTACTGCCAAATGAGAACCTAAATCTTTGTATTACAACCCTACGTAACTCTCCATCTTATTGAAACCTCTGACAGAGGTTGCCTGCCTTTATTTATTGAAGAAGAGCTTTATCTAGTGGAACTGAGCTTGTCCACTTCCATCAGCCAGCTTGTAATCTTTGGCCCACATTTTAAAGGCTTGGCTTTTCTTTCATTGAATATGTGCTTCTGGGAGATTTTCATTTTTACATTTGTTCTCTGTTAATCATTTGCTTCCTCGTATGAATGTGGAAGATATGGAAACCTGGGACGGAACCTTTCAATCATGCTACAGTTTTTTTCCCTGTAGCAGTGTTTCTCATCCTTGGCCATTTGAATAAGATGCATGGACTTTAATTCCCAGAATTCCCTAGCCAGCATGCTAGGTACGCAAAGTTGAAAAACAATGACCTATAACATAGGTACAAAATCCGAAATCTCTGAGCCAAAGTCTTGTGACCGGAAGTCCCCAAACCTTCTGGCTTCTGGGCCCAGTTTTGGAAGAAGAATGATCTTCCATGGACCAACAGCATTGGGGGATGGTTTCGTGCAAGCAACCTACATCTTGCACATACTTGCATAGCCAACAGGCCACGGATCGATACCAATCCGTGGACCCAGGGTTGAGGATCCCTATTGTAGGCTGATCCTGGAGCCCCCTTAAAAAGCTATTCCTAACAGTGGGCATTTTTCAATGTAAAGGAATTTAGGGTTGACTTTGAGGAAGGAAGGAAGAAGCCATTTAGGAGGGACCTGGAGAACAGATTACACAATCCAGAGATTGAAGCAAATGAAAGAAGCTCACAGTAACCCTGCCTTAATTTTCTTCTATATGTTGGGAAAGATATATGGACAAGCTTCTGAGATTCTATTATTTATACCCTCCAACAATACAGTGGCAATCCTGGAATCACTGCAATGCTAGTTTCTTGACCTGGCCTACCTCCAAGGGTGGATTTAAATCAAAGGGCAATAATACTAACTAAAAATAAATATGCATGAAGTCACATCTTCTAATTTAAGCAGGGTCTCTTAAAGGCCAAAGGCAGGGCCCAGCCAAAAAAAGATTGCACACTTCTTGTCTTTAATTTAGCTCATATATTTTCAAAGCCAGATCAGGGATTCTCATGACAAACAAGTGTTTTATGTTAGCTGGCAATGTAAGTCTGCACTTATATTCTTAGCCAGGATGTGTATGTCTGAATCATATTAAACAATAGAGAAATGTTGAAGAATGATCAAGGTTTTTAAGTGATTCTGGAGAAAATTCATAAGAAAAGACCTCTCCAAATTTTGCCTTCCATTGTAAACCAGTTGGCCAAAACGCCTTCTTTTTTTTACACATCCACTTTTAAGACTTCTGACACTTCACCACCGGGAGATGTCTGTCCCTCAGTCATGGTTTCTCTCACCTGTTTCAGAGAAGTGATGTACTTAATAAGATACTCTTGAATTCAAAAAACAGTCAAAGCTCTGCTTTCTTTAGCTCTTCCTTCACCTTTTGCTTTCAGCTGCATTTCCCAAGTGGTGGTGCTGTGTCAAATCTCCTGTTCCCAAGGACATCAGCTGTTTTGGCATCAGCGCAAGCTCATCTATCACACATGGCAATTTGTTCTCTGGCACAAAATTCAACCAAGGCAACACTTTCCACGTTGACCTTCCATCTGGCATCACCATTGTTGATATGTTTATACGCCTTATTTTGCACCGCTTCTCCTGGGTTGCGTTAACTGATTTTGGCTTCTAGATTGGGTACTTTGGTCTTTAGGAGTTTAATGGCTTCTCTGTTTCTGTTTCACACACACACATGTCTTTTATAGTAGTAATGGAGGAAAATTGGCTTGATTGGCTCCAGATGGGCCTCTTCTCATCTTTGATGAAGAGTGATAGGATTTTTCAGGACTTCTCAGCATAATCCATTAATAATCTAAGCTTTATGGCAGAATTGTATCATCATAATAAGTTTCTTTCCAGCCCTCCTGCTGACATGTTTACAGTAGAAGCTTACTGAACAAGTATTTTGTGGAACACGAGGATCACTCATCTTACATTCCTAATATAATCTCTTAAGTAATCATCAACTCAAACGGATCTCTGTGGAAACTTTCATAAAACAGAAAATAACAGTTAAATACCCCATAGCTTTGTGGTGGAATCTCAATCGTATCCCAATATTTACTATGACACTTTGACTTATCTTATTCCATTTAAATCATCCTCTGATTGCTAACAAATCTGATAAATCTTATTCACATAAATTTTATTCACATAAATCAGTAGACTACTTCAAAGTAAATAGGGGGTTACAACCAAACCAATATGTGCAACAAGTGCTCTTTATTATCCTGACTTGGTAGTACAATAATAATATATAGATGTTATATTTGATGGTGGTAGGATCATGTCATTGGCTGGGTTTTATTGATACATATTTCTTCTTGTTTCAGATAATTTTCCTCAGATGGCCCATCAAAAACGGTTCATTGAACGGAAGTACCGACAAGAGCTTAAAGAAATGAGGTGGGAACGAGAACATCAAGAAAAAGATCTGGATGATATAGAAGACATGAGAAAATAAGGGGGAAGGAAACTGTAGTATGTTTGCTTCATTTTGACCATGGCCTATAAAAAAAAACCATCCTGGTTTCATGAAACTAAATGAAATCATGTTTGCTTTTGTGTGTGTTTTTTTATTAATATGTTTTATCTCCATTTTAAGAGGCAAAGCTGTATTCGTAAAATTTAAAAATGATTTTTTTTTTTGAAGAACATATGCTTTCTGAAGAATTTTGTGTCCCCAGACTCGGTTTGTGAACAATAAAATGTTTTATTTCAAAAATATGTTCTAAAAATAAGAAAAATATAGTGTTATTCATATTGTTGTGTCATATGAAATGATAAGGTATTAAACAGAATGCTATTTTCTGCTACGTTCTGCTGGTGCCACGCTACTGTTAAGAAGATGAACTCAAGGCACAAATGACCAGGCTCAAATTATCCTATTTCAGACACATTGTGCAAAGACCCACTTCTTTGGAGAAAGCTCTAACACTGGGAAAAGTGGGCAGAAAGAGAAAAGTAGGAAAACTAGCAGAGAGGAGAGGCTTCAATTAAAGTGGCAATGAGGGCACCTAAAGGACCAAGTTAAGGAGAAATTGTCATGGAGAAATGCAGTCACTAAGATTTGACAGTGATATGATGGCAAATGTGTGTGTGTGTGTGTGTGTGTGTGTGTATTATGTTTGTCTTGGAAACATCTTCACAGATGTTAACCCTAACGCTAAAACTTGATCAGTTATCAGTTTTACAGAAGGGTTGCTTATGAAGGGTACATAACAGAGGTGGTATTCAGCAGGTTACGACCAGTTCTGGAGAACCGGTGGCGGAAATTTTGAGTAGTTCAGAGAACCGGCAAATACCACCTCTGACTGGAGATTTTACAGTATCCTTCCCCTGCCATGCCCACCAAGCAGGGGTAGGATTCTACTAGTTCGCACCTATTCGCTAGAACCAGTTATTAACATTCTAAGCAGTTCAGAGAACCAGTTGTTAGAAGAAATTACTGACCTAATCCTGTAAGGAAGGCAGGAAGGAAACATTCTGGTGTTGCTTATAGGAACTGCCTCTCTGTTAACCCTTATTACACTCTTGGCAGGACTAGACTTCCTGTCTCAGGAACTTCTCTGGAGTTTTTTCCCCCTCCTTTGCTGGTACTTTGCTTGTGTGGAGTGACCATTCAAAGTTACAATGACACTGAAAAAAGTGACTTTTTTCACACTTACGACTGTCGCAGCATCCCCACAGTCATGAGAGGCCAGGCATGCATGCCTTCGTGTGATGATATTGAGTTGGCCACACCCAGCCATTAACATGACCACCAAGCCACGCCCACCACCTAAGCCACGCCCATATAACCGGTTGTTAAAAAATTTGAATCCCACCCCTGCCACCAAGCCAGACCCACAGAACCGGTAGTAATCCCACCACTGGCCATTCTCCTCCATTTTTTGGCAGTTGGGAAATCTAGATGTCTTGTCATCCTTCAAGGTGTCACATTTTGCCTCAGTTTACTGATCTGATTTTAGAACTAGATTATATATTTATTTTGTGTCCTGGTCTTTGAAAGCTTTTTTGGAAGATGTTCACCACACAAAAACAATATTTGCACTTATTGTTATTTCTTGTCAGTGATAATTTATTACACTTTAAAAAAAGTTAACATAACTTGTTAAATGATGTGAGGAAAGTGATCTTTCTTAATCTTCCCAATTTTTGTTTTTGGTTACTATTAAAAGCATTGGATATTTATTTTTTAAAGAATCAGTTATGCAATTTTTGCAATGATGGTGCATATTATAGTATGTATATATTTATTACACACATACAGTATGTGTGTGTATACATATGTATGCACACATACATATACATGAGTGTGTCTGAAAATATAAGCAGCTATGAAATTCTGTGGTGATTAAACAAAATCAAAACCATAAGAATAGCATGAGGGGAATACTTAGGGCTAGATACTATTCTGAAATTTATCATTCACATTAATATTAGAAACTATGTTTTTTTAATATAGGGCTGTTTTTATATTGTCCAGTATTTTTTAAAAAACCAATATCATAAATCTGCAAATTCCATAAATAATTTAAATTGCATCAAAAATAATTTCATTTTCTAGCAATCAGTAGCTGTTCTTTTTTAATACTATATGAGGTAGGTGTACAAAATAATTTAGTAAATACAATCAACCAATAATAATAACAATAAACTATTTTAAATGCTCAAAAATCACTATCAATAATTTTAATCATCAGTATATTTTTACATTTTGCTGGTACATAAAGATTTTAATAAGGAAGTTTTACTTTTAAAGATAGATATCCACTGCTCAAAAAAATAAAGGGAACACTTAAACAACACAATGTAACTCCAAGTCAATCACACTTCTGTGAAATCAAACTGTCCACTTAGGTAGCAACACTGATTGACAATCAATTTCACATGCTGTTGTGCAAATGAAATAGACAACAGGTGGAAAGCATAGGCAGTTAGCAAGACATCCCGAATAAAGGAGTGGTTCTGCAGGTGGTGACCACAGACCACTTCTCAGTTCCTATGCTTTCTTGCTGATGGTTTGGTCACTTTTGAATGCTGGCGGTGCTTTCACTCTAATGGTAGCATGAGATGGAGTCTACAACCCACACAAGTGGCTCAGGTAATGCAGCTCATGCAGGATGGCACATCAATGCGAGCTGTGGCAAGAAGGTTTGCTGTGTCTATCAGCATAGTGTCCAGAGCATGGAGGCGCTACCAGGAGACAGGCCAGTACATCAGGAGATGTGGAGGAGGCCATAGGAGAGCAACAGCCCAGCATCAGGACTGCTACCTCTGCCTTTGTGCAAGGAGGGACAGGAGGAGCACTGCCAGAGTCCTGCAAAATGACCTCCAGCGGGCCACAAAAGTGCATGTGGCTGCTCAAATGGTCAGAAACAGACTCCATGAGGGTGGTATGAGGGCCTGATGTCCACAGGTGGGGGTTGTGCTTACAGCCCAACACCGTGCAGGACGTTTGGCATTTGCCAGAGAACACCAAGATTGGCAAATTTGCCTGGAGACGGCGTAGAGAACGTTCTGCTGCCTGCAACATCCTCCAGCATGACCAGTTTGGCAGTGGGTCACTAATAGTGTGGGGTGGCATTTCTTTAGGGGGCAGCACAGCCCTCCATGTGCTCGCCAGAGGTAGCCTGACTTCCATTAAGTACCGAGATGAGATCCTCAGACTCCTTCTGAGACCATATGCTGGGGCGGTTGGCCCTGGGTTCCTCCTAATGCACGACAATGCTAGACCTCATGTGGCTGGAGTGTGTCAGCAGTTCCTGCAAGACGAAGGCATTAAAGCTATGGACTGGCCCGCCCGTTCCCCAGACCTGAATCTAATTCAGCAAATCTGGGACATCATGTCTCGCTCCATCCACCAACGCCATGTTGCACCACAGACTGTCCAGGAGTTGGGGGATGCTTTAGTCCAGGTGTGGGAGAAGATCCCTCAGGAGACCATCCACCACCTCATCATGAGCATGCCCAGGCATTGTAGGGAAGTCAAACAGACACGTGGAGGCCACACACACTACTGAGCCTCATTTTGACTTGTTTTAAGGACATTACATCAAAGTTGGATCAGCCTGTAGTGTTTTTTCCACGTTAATTTTGAGTATAACTCCAAATCCAGACCTCCATGGGTTGATAAATTTGATTTCCATTGATAATTTTTGTGTGATTTTGTTGTCGGCACATTCAAGTATGTAATAAACAAAGTATTTAATAAGAATATTTCATTCATTCAGATCTGGGATGTCTTATTTTTGTGTTCCTTTTATTTTTTTGAGCAGTGTATTTTGGATGTTTCCTCCTTCCTCAGAATTACAGGTGCTTTAGTTGTTTATTGAAACCAAGATCACCCAAGCTTGATGAATCGTCTTGTCCTTACTACATTGATCCTCCCCCTCTGGTCTGGCAGGAAGGGCATAATGTAGACCCCTTTGACTAAAGTATTTTGATTGGTGGGATCTAGGAGGAGAGCCATCTCTGCCATTGACCTCATCCTGTGGAACATCCTATCTCTGGAAGTGAGGTTGGCCTCTACTCTTTTGACCTTCTGGAACAGTGTTAAGACTTGGTTCAGCCATCTAGTTGGGGATCCAAGAGGGATGAACAGCCAAAGGGCTGGCTGGTTCCTTCTGGAAGCTCTTTCAGACTTTCCATATTGTTTTTATGGTCTCTTTTATTATAAATCACCTAGAGTTACTGATACAGTGAGATGGGTGGTGTATAAACTTGGTCAATTAATAAAGTCAATGCTAAGGACAGGTAAATGTGTCCTGAAAAGTAATTTGTAGAATTAATAGTGTGCTTTATCCTATAATGAAAAAGGAAGGAAGGAAGGAAGGAAGGAAAGAAGGAAGGAAGGAAGGAAGGAAGGAAGGAAGGAAGGAAGGAAGGAAGGAAGGAAAGAAAGAAAGAAAGAAAGAAAGAAAGAAAGAAAGAAAGAAAGAA